AGATCTGAGAATAAAGAGGCTGTGAACCTTCCATTTATTAGCTGCAGATACTTATGAAATTGCAGATTTATGGGAACCAGTATTCTGCTCTTAATGATTCTAGTCTGGGTCTGTCATTTCCAGATGATGCGTAAGGTGATGCCAACCATCAGTGAAGCCGAAGGCTCCCCAGGAGGAAGTGGGAGCCATGCATCCGGCTCCCCTTCAGAGGCAGACGCAGATTCACATATTGAACAGTTCATGGTCTCCATGCTAGAAGAAAGGGACCGACTTCTTGACAATCTTAGAGAGACTCAAGAAACGCTGGCATTAACCCAGGGGAAATTACACGAAGTTGGTCATGAAAGAGATTCCTTGCAGAGACAGCTCAATGCTGCACTTCCACAGGAGTTTGCTGCACTTATGAAGGAACTGAATGAAGGCAGGGAACAGCTTCTCGAAAGGGAAGAAGAAATTGCTGAACTGAAAGCAGAAAGGAACAACACCAGGCTGCTTTTAGAACATCTCGAATGCCTTGTCTCTAGGCACGAGAGGTCTCTCAGGATGACCGTTGTGAAGAGACAGGCACACTCCCCAGCAGGTGTGTCCAGCGAAGTCGAAGTGCTCAAAGCACTGACGTCGTTGTTTGAGCACCACAAAGCTCTGGATGAAAAGGTGAGAGAGAGATTACGAGTAGCACTTGAAAGGTGTAGTCTGTTAGAAGAAGAATTAGGTGCCACACACAAAGAGCTAATGATTCTTAAAGAACAGAATAATCAGAAAAAAACACTAAGAGAAGGAGCGCTTGACATGAACCAGGAACAAGAAAATCCTCTGAGCACGAATGGAAAGAGATCTTCTGATGGTTCGTTAAGCCATGAGGAGGACTTTGCTAAAGTAATAGAGCTCCAGGAAGTCATAGACAAGCAATTGAGGGAACAGAGCCAAATGAAAGAGCACCTGGCCGCCCTCTCCAGTCGCGTGGCAGAGCTGGAGGAAGATCTCTACACGGCCAGGGAAGACTTGATCAAATCTGAGGAGATGAACATGAAATTGCAACGGGACCTCCGCAAAGCCATGGACGAAAAGGAAGACATGGAAGAGAGAATCACTATAATCCACAAGGAGGACCTTGCTAAAGGAATAGAGCTCCAGGAAGTCACAGACAAGCAATGGAGGGAGCAGAGCCAAATGAAAGAGCGCCTGGCCGCCCTCTCCAGTCATATGGCAGAGCTGGAGGAAGATCTCTACACGGCCAGGGAAGACTTGATCGAATCTGAGAAGATGAACATGAAATTGCAACGGGACATCTGTAAAGCCATGGACGAAAAGGAAGACATGGAAGAGAGAATCACTATAATCCACGAGGAGGACCTTGCTAAAGTAATAGAGCTGCAGGAAGTCATAGACAAGCAATTGAGGGAACAGAGCCAAATGGAAGAGCGTCTGGCCGCCCTCTCCAGTCATGTGGAAGAGCTGGAGGAAGATCTCTTCACGGCCAGGGAAGTCTTGATCGAATCTGAGGAGATGAACACGAAATTGCAACGGGACATCTGCGAAGCGAAGGCCCAAAAGGAAGACATGGAAGAGAGAATCACTACTCTTGAAAAATGCTACCTCGCTGCACAGCATGAAGCCATGTCTGTGTATGACCTCAATGATAAACTTGAAAATGAAATTGCAAAGAAAGATTCTATGCATCGACAGACTGAGGATAAAAACCGCCAGTTACAGGCACGGCTGGAATTAGCGGAGCAAAAGCTGCAGCAGACCATGAGGAAAGCCAAGACACTCCCAGAAGTGGAGGCAGAGCTGGCCCAGAGGGTGGCAGCGCTCTCGAAGGCTGAAGAGAGACAGGGCAACATTGAAGAAAGGTTAAGACAGAGGGAGGCACAGCTGGAGGAAAAGAACCAAGAACTGCAGCAGGCAAGGCAGAGAGAAAAAATGAATGAAGAGCATAATAAACGTTTATCATACACTGTTGACAAGCTTCTTTCAGAATCGAATGAGAGGCTCCAGCTTCATCTGAAAGAGAGAATGGCTGCTCTAGAAGATAAGAATTCTCTGTTACGAGAAGTTGAAAATGCAAAAAAGCAACTGGAAGACACACAACATGATAAGGATCAGCTCATCCTAAACATTGAAGCATTGAGGGCTGAACTAGACCAAATGAGACTAAGAGCTGCTTCACTTCATCATGGCCGACCCCACTTGGGCAGTGTCCCAGATATCAGATCCCCTGTGGCAGAGAGTCACACAGATTCCTACAGCACCAGTGCAGTGTTGTGGCGCCCCCAGAAAGGCCGCCTAGCTGCTCTACGGGATGAGCCTTCCAAGGGACAAACTCTTAATGAACAGGATTGGTAACGTGCCAAACAGGCTAGTGTCTTAGCAAACGTAGCACAAGCTTTTGAGAGCGATGTGTCTGATGGCGAAGATGACAGGGACACTCTACTCAGCTCAGTTGATCTGTTGTCACCCAGTGGACAGGCTGATGCACAGACATCAGCCATGATGCTTCAAGAGCAGCTGGATGCCATCAACAAAGAGATGCAAGAGGAAAAGGAAAACACAGAGCAGCGAGCAGAGGAGATTGGAAGTAGAGTTGGTAGTGGCAGCTTAGACGATCTTGGTCGTTTTACATCAATGAGCTCCATTCCGCCCCACCCTGCTTCCTCGCTTGCCAGCTCCTCCCCTCCAGGCAGCGGCCGTTCCACCCCAACGAGGATTCCTCACAGCCCAGCCAGGGAAGTAGACAGACTGGGCATCATGACTCTGTTGCCAGCATCCAGAGAGGAGGCGCGAGATGACAAGACAAAGAT